AAAAAAAAATTTGTATTCTGCTTTTTCACATAATGTTACATTCTTAGCACGTGCTGACATCTTTTAAAACGCTTGGTAAGCAGCATTTTAATGGCAGCATACATTAAAACACTGATTTAAAATAATTTAGTTAATTGTTCTATTGTTGGACATTTGAGTGTTTTTCATCACTAATCGTTCTGTGATCAACATCTTGATGTATAAATACGCTTTTCCTTTTGTGCTTATTTCTTTGTGTGTGTGTGCTAATGTCTTAGAATTAATTCCTAGAGGTAGAAGGGAGGTCAAAAGGAATGCATATTTCAAAGGTTCTTGATACATGCTACTTTCAGGAGATATTGAAGCAATTTTTGGTCCCACTCTACCCTCAGCTGCATAGAATATTATTGCCTGTAAATATTAGTTCATTTGGTTGGGAACAGATGGTATAGCATTATTGGTTTAATTTTCATTTCTTTGATTCTTTTTAAGGCTGTCGCACAATTTGGTTTTTTTTAACCTAAAAGATGCAGGTTTTACATTTATCTTTATATGTCGCTTTTTCCCATCCCATTGAGATTCTTTCTGAATCAAAGATGAGTCAGTAATGGGAAGTGGCTGTGGGCTGCATCCATATGAGTGCAGTGTAGAGATCAGGAGAGGTGATGGTCCCACTCTTCTCCTTCCTGCTCAGAGAGTACATTGGAGCTTTCCAGCTCTCGGTTCTGGGTGTCTTATTTAGGAAGGACGTTGACAACAGAGCATATTAATTGAGCAGAAGGGTGAAGGATCGTGGAAAGAGATTGAAGACACAGGAAAAATGTAATGCTGAGACTATATGTGAGAGACGAGCGGGTAGAAGAGCTGTATTAAGAAATGACAGATCTCTCTGTACAATATTTGCAACCCTTCTAGAAGCCCGAAACGATTCCAAAATGCACAGTTTATTTAAAAAAAAAATAATGCTAGCCCCGCATCAGGCTCCCTGCTCAGCAGGAAGCCTGCTTCTCCCTCTCCGCCTCCCCCTGCTTGTGTTCCCTCTCTCACTGTGTCTCTCTCTGTCAGATGAATAAATAAAATCTTAAAAAAAAAAATAATGCTAGGCCTTAGATACAGACAAATTCAATTTATTTCAAGTGGCTCCAAAAGTAGGTCCAGAAAAAAGACCAATAGGAGCAATTTAAAAGTAATAGATTTTAGCTTCACGTGAGAAAAAATGACCTAATATTTTGCACCCTTGTATACCAGATGACTTCCTCAAAAGGCCAGGTGAGCCTATATCCCTGGAGGTATTCAAGCAAAGGCTTGAATTCAGGGTGATGGTAAGGGGCACTACGCATGGGGTAGAAGTTTGAGTTGGCATCAGATGATCCCCGAGATCTTTTCCAAAGCCGAGGTGTTCCGAGTCTATGAGCTGAGAGGTCTGTGGAATCTGATCAGCAGAGCAGTCAGTATTGAAAGGTTCCAGCTGCCTGAGCAGGTACACTCTGAGGCAGAAAAAAGCCCAGCCACCGGGTGGGTGGGGCTGACACATGCCTCTCTCTGCAGCACGAGTACCTGATGAAGCTGAAGGTCATGTACACCGTGGGCTATAGCTCCTCCCTGGTGATGCTCCTGGTCGCCCTCAGCATCCTCTGTGCTTTCCGGTGAGAACACATTGCCATCTCTCTGTCTCCCCAGCCTTCCACAGGCACAGAATTTGGGTCTCTTTAAATTACTCAGGCCAGAGAAAGGAAGGTCTGGGTGGGCCACTTGGTGACCTCTTGATCTAAACCTTACCCGTGGCCAAACACTGATGTTCCTGTGATCTTGTTCATATTTTTTATTCATTCCACAGTTACTGCATGTAACGAGGAACTTACTGCACATGTACTATTTGTAATTTTCACACAATGCTATAAGATGGGTATCATTACCCCCGTTTTACAAGTGTGTTAGCCAGACTCTTGGTTGCAAGAAACAGAAATCCGCCTTAAAACAGTTTAAGTAAACAAAGGTGACCTGACCCACATAATTGACAAGGTCAGGGGTGCTGGCTTTAGGAATGGCTGTATCTAGGTGCTCAAAGGTATCAGCAGAACTAGGTCTATCTCCCTCCCTTTCTCGACTCTGCCTTGGCCTCATCCTCAGGTAGGCTCTCAGCAGGGGTGGCAGAGACAACCACCAGCAGCCTCAGGGGTACATTCCACCAGCTCGGCCACACCAGGACAAGGAGAGCTTCTTCCCCATTAGTTGCAATCAAAGTCCTGGGGTGGGGATGGGGGTGGGGATATCTCATAAGCTGGGCTTGGGTCACATGCCCAACCTGAGCCAGTCACGGCAGCCAGGGGTGGAGTACTCTGATTGGTCAGGTCTATCAACAGGGTGGGAGGATGGAGTCACCCCCACTCAGAGCTGGAATGGGTTCCCCATAAGAAAGCTTGCTTCTGGTACCAGAAGACGGGGAAAGAGTAACAGACCTCTGACCCCTCCCACAGAGGAGGAGACTCAGGCTCTGGAAGGTGAAAAGGCTTGCCCGAGGTCAAGGTCGTCTAGCTAAGAAGCGGGCCGCGCGCCTGTGGCTCTGGCCCCCATGGCCCTGCATTCTCTCTCTCCAGGAGGCTTCACTGCACCCGCAACTACATCCACATGCACCTTTTTGTGTCCTTCATCCTGCGTGCCCTGTCCAACTTCATCAAGGATGCCGTGCTCTTCTCCTCGGACGATGTCGCTCACTGTGATGCCCAAAGGGTAACATGCCTGCATGGCCCCGAGTGTGGCCAGGCTGCCCACACTCAGCCCAACTCCGGGAGAGGGTGGTGGCCCCCTTGCCCTTCCCCCACGTCCCAGCTGAGGTTGCACTTAATGCCTAGTGCTGGGCCAGGGGGCCTGGGGAGAGTCCCATGTCTCCATGTGCACAGTCTGGGTCATGTATGAGGGCAGTTTGTCAGGAGGCCGCTGGGGGCTGCCCTTCAACTCCCAGCATCCAGGAGTGGCTTAGTCACTCTGGCAATTAGATACATAGTGAGGCTCGTCTTTTCCCTCCACCTGCCAAGTCCCAGCTATGGACAGATGGCCAGGTCTAAAGAGGGCTGGGGTTGGGTGTAGAAAGAAAAGTGCGAACATATGCCTAGGTTCTGCAAACACAGGTCTGTAGCAAAACAATTGTTTTGTTAAATCTAACCCCCTTCCTCCTTCTGAATGCTCAGATAACTCTTAATTCTTTGCAATATTGCTCTGCGTATCAGTTGGGAATCCCTTTTGCAGCATATACCAGAACACAGCACATCAGTGGCTCAAACGGATGGGGATTGTTTCCCACATCAGCCGTCCACAGATGGGCAATCCAGAGGTCGTACGGCGGCTCCGTGATGCAGTGGTGGACACAGTCCTTTTCCCTCTTTCTGCTCCAGCGTGCTTGATGCCATGCTTTAACACTGCTTGTTTACAACATGGCTGTTGCAGCCCCAGGCCTCACATGCATGTTCCAGTCAAAAAAGAGAGTCAGGGTTAAACAGTTTTTGTCTTTGGGCAGCTTTGCCTTTTTAGGGTGGGGAAGAATGCCTGCCCCAAGACACCTATCTACATCTCATTGGCTAGAACCATGTCATGGGACCACACCTAACTGCAAAGGAAGCTGGGAGATCGGATTTTTTTTACCATCATAGTCTCCATAGCAGAGGAAAACAAGGGAGAAGGGATTGGAGTTTGAGATTGGTTCGGTCAACCTCCCTGTCACTTCCCACCACTCAAATCTGTAATTCTTTACGGATCTGTTAAGTTTGTGTTGTTCATAGTTGTGTGTGTGTGTGTTTTCTGACTCCAGCTGAATCTCCCTTCAGGATATTGTCAGGATGAAGTAAGAGTACCAGAGTGAGAGTCAGAAGACTTAAATTCAGGCCCCCCACCTCACTGACCAGCAGTGGAGAAGTCCAGCAGAGTCCCGCAGGGAACCTTCTTGGGTTCCACCAAACATCAGACTCCTGGGCCAACCACGGGCGCCCCCCGGAATCCGAGTCTGCAGGAGGCCAGAGGGCAACACCGGCCTCTCCTCCTCCGTGGATGTGACCTCCACGTAGCCCATGTAGCAGCCCTCGGGCCATCCCAGAAGCTGTCCTCTCCCCAGGGGACAGCTCAGGGAAAGGAAAGGGGACCCTTGCCACATGGGAATGGTTGCCTTGCTGGGACGGAAGCCTCGGGCCCCACAAGTCCCCAGGCACAGCTTCCGGCGATCCCCGCAAGAGACAGGCCTCTAACAAGTCACTGCGTCAGGCAAGGTCAGCACTGGCCCCCCATCTGGTAGTTCAAGGTCTCCAGAACAGACGCAGTGTGCCAGTCGGGGGCCATTTTCACTATAATCAATGTTGCCCTCCTAACATAATTGGTACGTCCCTTCTTCATCTGTTTCCAGGGAAAGAGCTTGGAAAGGATTTTGTTACTCCTTGGCTCGGAAATCCCTTTCCTTCTCTCGGCCTGGTGCTCATCTGCAAAGGAGGCACTTGGGAGCTGGGCCCTATGTGACACAGATTTTACTGCTGGTGGTCAGCTCCAGGGTTCGAACGCACTGCCTACTTCTGTGATGGCCCGTTAGCCTTCTTGGCTGAGCCTCTTGGCATGTGGACTTCCACCCTCTAGAGAACTCCTGGGCCTGGCCTTCTGAGAGTGGACAGCCACAGGGGATGGCCAGGAGCCCTTAGAGACTCTCTCTGCGACCTGACCCCTACTACGCCCTGTCACGTCCTTCAGGGGTGGCCGCCAGTGGGGAGCCCGCTGTTGCCCAGCCCTGGGGCTCACCTGCCTCTCTCCTTGCAGGTGGGCTGTAAGCTGGTCATGGCTTTCTTCCAGTACTGCATCATGGCCAACTACGCCTGGCTGCTGGTGGAAGGCCTCTACCTTCACACGCTCCTCGTCATCTCCTTCTTCTCCGAAAGGAAGTGCCTCCGGGGATTTGTTGCCCTCGGATGGGGTATGTTTCTCCATGGGTAGAACGGGAGGGGTAATTGGAAACAGGCGCTGAGCCAGAGGATTCGGTTTCTAGTTCCAGCTCCACACACAGTTAAGTTAGCTAATTTGTGGAATCTTAGGCAAGTTGCTTCTTGTTTAACCCCCTGGCTTTGGTTTACTTGTATGTCAAGTAGGAATTCACAGTTAAAATGTAGCCCCAGTTTTGGCCACCCAAAGTCTCTAACCATTTGATACCAACCAACGCTTGTTGCTTCATCTTCCTTAGACGTTCCATTCATGTATTTTCATTCTTGCTTTCTTTCTATATCAGTTAGTGTACTTTTGATTGTAGGTATCAGAAAATCTGGCTTAGATCAGCTTTAAACATAAAAGAAAGCATTGGCTCATGTATCTGAAAAGTCCAAGAATCACCAGCTTCAGGTGAGGCTGGATCCAGCAGCTCAACAACATTTCTTTGTGCCTTTCGACTTCGCCTTCTGTAACGTCAGCTTGATCTCTAGGCTGGTGCTCCCAGTGTAACTGCCAACAGCTTCTGGGCTACCAGCTTCCTTGTTGTACCTAATGAGAGAAAAAAGCCCAGCATTCCCAACAAATACTCTGAGGTTCACTCTGATTGGACCAGCTTGTCTCAGACACGTCCTGAGCCAATCACAGAGGCCTGAGTGAATGGAATACACTGATTGGCTTAAGCTATTCAAACCACATGGCTTCCCAAAGGAATTTCAGGGTTCATTTGTAGGAAGGAGGGGAAATGGCAGTCAGGTAGCCAACTGCAGGCCGCATTTTTTCTCTTCCCCCTTTCTTTTCTGATCAATGAAGATGATAACTTCATTTCTTGAGCACTTACTATGAGCAGGGCAGTTTACATGCATTAATTAATTGCCACCACAACCTCCAGAGGCCCTTCAAAGAAGCCTGCTAAAAGACGGGATGTAATATGCTCAGCTCACACTGTAAACAAGGGCAGACCCAGGATTCAAACCAAGGCTTGCCTGTTTCCAAAGGCCCCTTAACTCTTATTCTGCCATTAACAAACATCCATCCATCCATCCATCCATCCATCCATGTACCCATCCATCCGTCTGTCCGTCCATCCATCCATCCACCCATCCATCCGTCTGTCCATCCATCCATCCATCCATCCATTGTTCATTTGATAAACATATGTAAGTTACCCACTGGGTTCTAGAAAGATAGCCAGGTTCCTCTGAGTGACTCATATGCTTACAGGGATAGTCATGTGTACCAGCCATTAATTTCATTTGCTTTCTTCTTAGTGCCTTTAATTAAGAAGTGCCCCTGCCAGGAAAGCCCTGTCTTTTCTGCTTGTCTAAATCCTTCCATGCAAGGGCCCCATCTCCTCACATCAGGGAAGTCACCTGAGCTGCCAGAGCTTGCCGAGCCTTCCTGTAGACTTTGGCAGCCTGATTAGCACATAACCCTTAGCCAGTGGGAGCTGTGGTACTCTGCAGATCTTTGGATTTCTGCAGAAAACAGTAGCCCCAGAGTACTGGGGGACCAGGGACCTGCCTTATGCAGTTGACCCCAGAAAGGGACCCCATTTGGAACCTCGTTCACTGACCTTGACTCCCAGATCTGCCAGGATCTCATCATGTGAATATAGGCAGTTTCATTATCTGTAATATCAGGATCATAATTTTTTCAACTTTCTTCGAGCATTTCTTTGTGCTCAGAGGGGCTTCTAGAGATTACAGAAACAAAAACAGTTCCATCATTCAAAGGGGTCGTATCAAGCAGGGAGACAAAATTGCATTGCAACATCTCCGTCACGGATTTTTAGGAGGGTTTATTTTATTTTATTTTAAAGGTTTGTATTAATTTGAGAGAAGAGATAGAGCACAAGCTGATGGGGAGAAGCAGAGGGAGAAGCAGACTCCCCGCTGAGCAGGGAGCCTGATGCGACTCGATCCCAGGACTCTGAGATCATGATCTGAACCGAAGGCAGATGCCTAACCAACTGAGCCACCCAGCGCCCCATGGATTTTTAGGAGGGTTTAAGTGAGATTATGAGAACCTTCCTTTCTTTCTCAAATAATGCAAGGCCCTGAGATAGAACAGCACATAAAGCAGAGGTTCCTCCCCTCCTGGTCTCTCTGCCTGCACCGCCCCAAGGAGACCTGGAAGGGACTTAGGAAGGTCTAAAGTTTTCCGTCTGGGAGAAGCCTTTCTCTTGCAAAAGCAGGGACCCCTCCTCAATTTGTATGCAACTTGTTTCCCCAGAGATGGGTTGCTTAAATGAGTACATGCTCACTGTATAACTGCAAAAAATAAAATTAAGTAGAAAAAAATTACCCTGGTCTCATCTAATGAACATTTTGGGGGGTTTTCTTCCAGACTATTTTTCCTACTGAGTTTTTCTCTGCATTGCTGTGGTCATTCTTTTTTTTTTTTTTTTAAGATTTTATTTATTTATTTGTCAGAGAAAGAGAGAGAGAGAACATGAGCACAAGCAGTGGGAGCGGCAGGCTCCCCGCTGAGCAGGGAGCCTGATGCAGGACTTGATTCTGGGACCCTGGGATCATAACCTGAGCTGAAGGCAGACGCTTAACCGACTGAGCCACCCAGGCGCCCCTGTTGTGGTCATTCTAAATGTAGAATTCTGAATCTTGTTTCTTTCTATTGACACACAGGCATGCTCTGTATTCTTCCACCTCTGCCATAAACATTTTTAACTCATCTCTGTACCTATTTAACCAAATACCTATTGTATGGACATTTGGTTGTTTCTAATTTTCCACTATTATAAGTCACACAGTGATAAATACTTTTATGGACAAAGCTTATTTCCATGTGTAATATGGGATCCTAGAATTGGGATCACTGGATCAAAAGGAGTGGGCACTTTTAAGATTTTTTTTTTTTAATTTTTTTAAAGATTTTATTTATTTATTTGACAGAGAGAGACACAGCGAGAGAGGGAACACAAGCAGGGGGAGTGGGAGAGGGAGAAGCAGGCTCCCCGCTGAGCAGGGAGCCCAACGTGGGGCTCGATCCCAGGACCCCGGGATCATGACCTGAGCCGAAGGCAGACGCTTAACGACTGAGCCACCCAGGTGCCCCAAGATTTTTAATACTTACCCAACACTTTTACTTTTTCAAGGTGGCTGGGGTGTCTGTCTGCACCCAGAAAAGGGTGACACCTCTGGCTTTTGTGGGGATGAACCAAGCTCCCACTCACTGAGTTGGTGGCTCTCCAATTGGAGCCAGCATCAGAGTCACATGGAGGGTGTGTCAAGCCCAGCTGGCTGGATCCCACGCCCAGTGCCTCTGAGCCAGTTGGCCTTGGGTGTAGCCAGAGACTCCTCACATCTAACAAGGCCCCAAGTGACTCTGATCCTGATAGTCTGGGGACCACACTAAGAAACCCTAACTTGAGCCATTATTGGTTTTCCCACTTTCTGCCAACTCTGTTAAAGATGGGAGACAACGAACAGGTGGCCCTTCAGAACCCATGTTCTTTGCCCAAAGCATCCAAAATTGAGCCAAGGAATTAAAAAATATATATATTATTTTTATTAAAGTCATGCACATACTTGGTTTAAATAATTAAATAGCGGGGTGCCTGGGTGGCTCAGTCGGTGAAGCGTCTGCCTTCGGCTCAGGTCATGATCTCAGGGTCCTGGGATCGAGCCCCGCGTCAGGCTCCCTGCTCAGCAGAGTCTGCTTCTCCCTCTGCCTGCCACTCTCCCTGCTTGTGCTCACTCTCTCTCTGTCGAATGAATAAATAAAATCTTTAAAAAAAAAGTCCTATTCTATGTATGTATCCTTATATCTATGTAAATGTTTACTGCTGAGCCGAGTGGTGTACAATGATTTTACTTCCAATAGTTAACCTTTCGTTTTTTACGGAGTCACTTTTGATTGACTTATTTGTTTTATGTTGCTGTCCTTAATTCCCCCCAGTTCACCCAGAGCACTGGAAAACTCTCCAGTGCTGTTTCCCGATCATCCCATGCCAACAGGAAATCTATTAGTTCCTATTTGTTGGTTTCTTCCGGCTGTATTCGTTTCCTATGGGTGGCCGTAAACAAATTGCCACAAACTCGGTGGCTTAAAACAATAGAAATTTATTCTCTCACAGTGCTGGTGGCCAGAAGTTCGAAATCAAGGTTCTGGCAGGGTTGATTCCTTCTGAACTGCTGCATGCCTCTCTCTCTTCCAGCTTCTGGTCGCTGCTGGCAGTCCTTGGCGGATTTTGGCTTGTGGCTGCACCCTTGTGATTTCTCCCTCCGTGTTGACGTGGCCTTCTTTCCGCTGTGTGTCCTTCTGCTCTGTGTCTCTCATGGTCTTCTCATAAGGATGCCAGTCATATTGGATTAGGTCCCCCATATGACTGGCATCCTTCTAAGTATGACCTCTTCTTAACTAATTACACCTGCTAAGACCTTATTTCCAAATAAGGTCACACTCTAAGGTTCTGGGTGGATAGGAATTTAGGGAGGATGCTTTTCAACCTGATAGAGCCAACAATGTTCTTTCTAGAGCCTTCTGATTTCCTGCCCTATTTGGGCTGGTTGTTCTCTAGACTTGCTCAATTCCCTTACCCTTCATGCTGAGAATTTCCTTCATTTCCCTCTATAAATCCTATTCTTTTCTTTCTTTCTTTCTTTTTTTAAGATTTTATTTATTTATTTGAGAGAGAGAGCACAAACAGGGAGAATGGCAGAGGGAGGAGCAGACTCCCTGCTGAGCGGGGAGCCCAACTGGGGGCTCGATCCCAAGACTCCAGGATCATGACCTGAGCTGAAGGCAGACGCTTAACCGTCTGAGCCACCCCGGTGCTCCTCCTTTATTTCTTATCTCCTCCGTGGTTGCTCCCTGGTGGTGTTGGAGCACGTGCTCCGCATCTGTCTAGCAAAGAGTTCGTGGAATGTACATGTTTTTGCATTGCATATCTGAAAATCTTTTTCAACTTTCACACCTAATTTATAGTTTTCCTAGGCAAAAATTTAGGTTGAAAAAATCGTTTTCTCCTAGGATTTTGGAGGCTTTCTGTTTGGGCATCTGATGTTACAGGATGTGCCGTGTTATTCTTTTTTTTTTTTTTTTTAAGATTGTATTTATTTATTTGAGTGAGAGAGAACACTCGCACAAGCAGGGGCAGAAGGCAAGGGGCAGAGGCAGAGGAAGAAGCAGACTCCCCACTGAGCAGGGGGCCTGATGTGGGGCTCCATTCCAGGACACTGAGATCATGACTTGAGCTGAGTGCAGATGCTTAACCGACTGAGCCACCCAGGCGCCCCTGCCATGTTATTCTTCTTCCCTGGGCATTTTTACTCATCTCTTTCTACATAAGCTGCAGGGTCTTCTCTCTGTCCCCTCTGTTTTGAAATGCCCTAGGGATGTGCCCCAACTCGAGGTGATTTCATCCTTTTTGCTGACATCCGGTGGTCCTTTCATCTGGAAATTCACATCCTTCATTTCTTGGACCATGTTCTTACATCACCTATTTGATTTCTTTCCCTTGGGTTTTTATCCTCTCTTTCTGAAACTTTTAATCAGATGGCGCATATCCTGGAATTGACCTCTGATTTTTTTGTGTCTTTCCTCCTACTTTTCATTCCACTCTTTGTGTTCTGCTTTCCGGGCGATTCCTGGTCCTTATCTTCCAACCCATCTATGGAGTCTTTTATCTTGGTTATCATATATTCAATTTCTAAGCCCTCTTCCTTGTTCTCAGACTGCTCCCTATTTTCGGCATCCTGTTTGGGTCTTGCAGATGTAATCTTTCCTCTTATCTCTCTGATGATATTCCTTAGAGTTGTTTTGTTCAAGTTCCTCCTGCAGCCTGCACGGTCTGTTTCCTTTGAGTTCCTTCTCTCTGATTGTTTTGGTCCCTGTCTTTTATGTAATCAGCTTTCCTCAGATGTCCGTGACCTTGACTGTCTGTTCATGTTTAAGAATGAGTCACTTCAGAGCGGACTGAAGACCCCATGTGTGGGGTGGCGGGGCATGTCTCTCAAGGGAGACTGGGCTGGAAGTGGCCACAGTGTTGGAAGGGGTCCCCAGCATCGCCATCTATAGGCTCTTTGTCTGGGGCTGTTGGATTCCTCCAGAGAAAAATTCTTTCATCTCCTGCCTGGGTGTAAACCTGGCTGCTGGAGGTCTGAAACCTGAGCAGCCCAGGGACGGGGCTGTTATCATTTTCTGGTGTGGACGAGCACGTCCATTAGAAATACAATGAGCCACATATATACCCTAAAATTTTCTAGTAGCCACAGTAAACACAGTAAAAAGAAGCAGGTAAAATTAACCTCAATAATCTATTTTATTTAACCCGGTATAAAAATATTTTCATGTCAGCATATAACTAATATAGAAATTAGCATATTTCACATTCTACTAAGTCTTCAAAATCGGGTGGCTTGCACTTACTGCACATGTGCTGTGGGACCAGCCACATGGCAAGCAGGCCATAGCCACGTGGGGAGAGCGGCCGCTGCCCAGGACAGCCCAGCTGTAGACCATCACTTCTCCCTTCTCTTCCCTGCAGAGGGCCTCCCGAGTCTGCCCCAGGCTCCCAGGACACTCTGTGCCCCTCCTGGCGTTCAAGAACCTCTGATTCTGCCTCAGTTTGCAGGGCATGCCTGGTACCCTAGAAGCAGGAAGCTACAAGGATTTGTTTGCACAGGATTTACAAGGGGGTTTCTGTGACACCTGCTCACTCCCAGGCTGGGTGAACTGCCCTGTTCCCTTACGGGGGTGTTAAAATTGAGTCCCCTCTCCCCGCTCCCTCCTTTTTTTTTTTTTTTT